CGACGCGTTCTGGAAGAAGAGTTAGATTTCCAGAACATTTAAACGACTATTGCACGTGAGGCACTACTAGACATTCAATATTATCTCGATCTATCTTTTTACGATATATAATATATTCTTTAAAAAAACAATTTTAATATGCTTATATATTTTTATTTTTATTCCAAAAAAAACAAAAAAACATTATAAATTTTTTTCTAACGATATTACGTGTAAATTAGTTTATATTCCAATTTTTCTTCGCCGACATTGTGTTTTTACACACATACGAGTGTATTTCGACATGCACTTACATTTTCATTTTCCTTTTCCAGGACGGCTGGAGAAGAACTATAACGTTTATGAGGAGTTGAAATTTTCATTGTACGTTTTCTTTTTTTACTATGTTATACCTCGGTCCCATATAGTAAGGAAAGACGACCAGACGCTGCTAATTTTAGCAAGCTATCAGAAGAGTTTTTACCAACGACAAACTCGCTGGGTTTAAACTTCTGACTGGCCACGTCTTAGGGTCATCACTAACCCACCAGGGGGGGAGTGATCTGTAGCGGTAAATCAATCCTCAAAATCAATAGCCCTGTAGGTTTTCGACATTGGATGCTGACCATATGTTTTAGTGGACTCATCTAGCTGAAGGCGCTCGGTCATGCATCCGCACCAGATCACATGTGGTAACGCCGTTCTCAACATCTACCGCAATCGCTAGCCAGATTAGATCAGAGAATTCCGATATATTGGTAATCGCAAAATACACTCTTCCGATCTCCTCGACTCTGTCTTTTGATTTCCCTTGGTGGGTACAGATTATATTGGAAGGTGTTGCTGGTAGAAGCGTTGTCAAACACTGAATACCTGTGACATCTTTAATTCCATGTCAACTGCTGTTTACCCTTGTCACAAAAACACTTCTAGTTTATACTCTAGTCAATGTGATATATATGTTTTAAATCAAGCCACATTATTCATAAAATGGGGATATACAGATCCAACATTATTTCGTGGGGGAGGATAGTGTTGAGAAATCTGTGCTTTGAATTCTAGATAGTGGTTTTGGCAGATAACTGACACGGCGATTGTATACAATCCTAGGGAGCAGATAATACAGAGTTTTTATCCAACACAATGTCGGACAGACAGGATGGACTTGAGAAGAAGAGGTACAATTGATTACAGACACCTACACTCCAATTTTAGCTGTAATGGATATTGTGTTTGAATGATCTAATGATATCTTTGTACTTGTTGAATGTTTGATTTCGAATTGTAAATACAGCACATTCGTTTGTGGTTTTCTATCACTTCTTGATCCAATTACGTTATTTCGGGGATTTTTATTTCATACTATAATTCAAATACTTCTAAGGATCACACAGTTGCACTAAATGGAGCTCATCATTCTACGAAAAACGTTTCCGATGAATGCTCTTATCGGGGTTCTATAGTTGTTTTACCAAATATGAATTATCTTAATGTGACGCACATTCCCACGTACAACAGTCCAGTAACCTTCTATCAACTTACAAAACATGAAGGCGGGACATTGAGTGTTCATAGAAGTCCTTCGTGAAAAAAATGTAATAACGCTAATCAAATTACCTCCTTCGTCTAATCCGCTATGACGAACCGCTAGATCTTCTACGGCCATTTCTCCAACATACAAATTAAATATACGAGTTCTGATCTCTGTCCAAATGAGAATTTCTCACAACATAATGACAGTACGTAGATCTTTCATTGATGATGTCACAGGTATTCAGTGTTTGACAACGCTACATCATAAATTCTGACAGCGGACTTCAACGCTTCAATTGATTGGAACGCTACGAGAAACAATGTAGTCAAAAATACGTTCTCCGTTTCTTTGAAAACGTGAGAAACAACAGCACTTGTACATGGCACGTTACTCTCCTCTATAATTATGATTAAAATGTACTTTGTCGACAAGCACTGACATTCTATAACAATTTCAAGACATAACTAACCAATTAGAACGAATTTAAAACTAACCACTTAATTGGACGAAACGGGATGAAAAATTTTGGAGAACGGGATGAAAAATTTTTTTAAAGGGGTGGGAAAAAATTTTTTTTAATAAAAGAATTGCCGGCCACTTAATGATATTACAGTCTTCGTGTCCTTACTTTTGCGTTGTGGGAATTGCAGAGGTCCCTCGTTCCGAGTATAAAGTGATAAGCTTTTCCGACGTCACAGTCAGCGACGACCAGATGCAAAAAGTAGCATTAAATGAGCCAAGACAGCATCCAAACGACAAGTTAGAACACTTTTACAGTTACTTCCGACAATGGTTCACAGTTTCCACCGCACCTGCTCAATGAATTTACACACATTTTGGGAATCCATCACATTACTACAACAGCATACCATCCAACAGCAAATGGACTAGTGGAATGATTCCACAAACAACTGAAAAGCTCGCTAGTGGCACAGCCTGTTGTAACCAGATAGAGCAAATTCTTACCTCTAATTTTACTGAGCATACATTCCACAATCAAAGACTTCTAATGTTCACCTGACAGCTCGTTTATGAAACTAACTTAACCTTGCCTGGTCAGCTTATAATGAGTAGAGATTTATCTGTGTTTACAGACTCTGCTTCATTTTGTGAAAGACTAATGGACCATGTTAACGATATTAAGCCTTCTGAACTTTGACCAGTTTTCTTAAAAGAGCAAATTAGCAGGCATGTAGACACATACGAATTCGTAATTGTATGTGTTGATTCCGTAAGACGTCTTTTACACCCTTATAAAGTAGTGGAGACGTTAGCAAAACACTTCACATTCAGAAATAAAAAAAGCAGTTTCAACTGATAGAATTAAGTTTGCTTTTGTAGTCTGAAGAACATGACAAGCGAAAGTCGTCTAAAGACAACAGCAATTTGACAAAAGTTTCCCACATCTCCGGCTAATTCTTTACCTATTTTGAGAAATCAACACCCTCTACGATCGACAACGGTAATGTTACAGCTCTTACAAATATACTTCCTAATTCTACCATTTTAAAAACCACTCATAAAAGAAGACAGGTACACATCCCAAAACGTCATGTTGGATGCATTAATTAATCTCCTTTCAGCTATTCTATGTGGTGCAGGTAAAAATCTACGTGCTAGCGTAGTCGTTAATAACACTAATTTGCAAATAAATATGACTGTTCTTCAACGATTCGGGACAGAGATTCGATGATGAAGTCAGAACAGAGGCCTTGTGGCAACATTGAAAAGACGGAATCATGGCAATCTTCATATTCTTAAGCCCCAAGTTTTGAAAAAGCATCTCAAGTTTGGTGGTGTCAACGAGTTTACAAAGGTCATTAAGAACAAGTCTTTTTAATTATAGAACCATGAATAATATTCAAACTGTAAGAAAACTTTGACTCTAATAATTATTTTCCTGTATCATTTATTTCGATTAATGCAATAATCAGGATATGTGGTTAGAATAATATACAAAAACTTGAGAATTACAATCGATTTCTGAATGAAATATGATATCGACTACATTGACATACAAATAGAGTTGAATAAATATGGTTTTTGTAACATTTTCACTGCAATTTGGTGAACATTCTAACTCGATTGACGATAATACTTGAACTAGGCTTTGAAAAGTACTGTTTTTGCTTACATATATTACTCTGAAATGGTCAATGGTTATCTATAATTTGAAAGACAACAATTCAATTATAAAACCTTTAATTCTGTCACGAGTGACATTTCTTTGTCTTAGCAAGCCACTTATCCGATTCTGTCAAACTCTTCAAATGTCTGGAGGGGATTTCATACACCAAAAGTATCATATTTTACTAATCTGAAAATATCAGACGGCCTTATAAGAAAGCTGTAAATTTATACGAATTGTTGTTCCAATCACTATGCAAATAAAAAGCAGTTGAGTGTATTCACTTAACTGTCAGGTTCTGAAAACTTTATATTGTCAGAGAACCTATGAAATTTATAACAAAGTGAATCTTGATTTACTAATGTTCTACTTGTAAATATTGTATGCTGTATGTACACTAAATATTTATGTAAACAATAAATAGTGGTATCATTATTATGAAATCATGAAAATATCTATTCGTAGCGGGAATTACAATGACTATCGAACTGTTAGAGGCGAACAGATAAAGGGCAAGATACATAAACACAATGAAAAAAGTTAGTAGTCCATGTATATAGCACTAATTAATGTACAACCACAAGCAGACTTAAACATAAAAGGCTCAATGTAAATCAATTAAAACGTGGAATTATGTAGGTGAACACGAACACATATATTTCGCTCTAGTGTTCATGAAAACAATGAACATATGCAAAAGATGTATATGAACTTAGCATTATGATACGCTTGAAATAGTCACGTAAATATATCAAGTACTTAACTTGTTCATAAGGTGCATGAGTACGAGACATACTCCGAATGTGAGGGACGATGATACTAGCCAGTTCTCCAAATCGAAGTAGACGAAGTGGTACTCGAAAATACGAATTCACGGCTGTAAATCGAACACCTTAACCGTTAAAAGCCATCACTTTATTAGAATGAGCATCAAGGTAGTTGTAACTTAATCCATAAAGTTTTTCCTATAAATATACATATATTTGCCGTATAATTATTAAATAACTGGACTATTATTTTCTCATATTCCCGTTACTGCGAGCTTCCGTTGGACCAGTTGACTATTATTATACGTCTTGTCATTCTTCAATTACTGCTAATTCATTGGAGTTCCATAACATGGATCGCAGTTTCATCTCAGAAGCTAACTGTCACATTTTCGAAAAAAGTATATTTGTTTTGCCACCGAGTGGTCGCATTACCAATTATAAGAACATATTATTATTGTCCTCGCTTATTGATATCTGTAGGACGAACGACCTAATTTCTCAATGATACAGTGATCAATCAACATCAACTGAGACTTTAAAGCCTACCTGTCCTCGGACTCCTTCCAACTGTGTCCAATCAGAAGCCAAATTTAGCACTTATCTCTATATTTTACAGTTATCCATATGACTCAAAGTTCATACAATAAAGCACACCAACATAAATAGCAAATTTCATACACATTAATTTTCTTTATTATCTTCCTCTTTTTATAAATGGGAAAATACAATACGAGCATAATTACGCCAAAAGTGACAGAAAAACTAAGTAATAAGTCAGTAATTAGTTAACAATACAGTAGAACAACAATTTATACAACAAACGAAAGCTGGTAAATATGGCAACATAAGATTATAATAATTTAAGTTTATAATAATTATACAATTAAAATGCAAACAATAATTCTTCATAAGACAATTCCAAAAGTTGCAAATTTCACAACATTTAATTCGTTTTGACATATATAACGTGAAAAACACACAAATCCAGAACAATAGCAATTCTTTGTTTGGTTTCATTGTAAGCATCCACTTCCTTGATTACAACTTAATGTATTGTTTACTATCCTCACAAGTGGTAGTTTCGGTCTGTTTCTCATTCAATTCCTGGAGTCGATTACTTAACTTTTCAGAAAAGCTATGTCGAAATAATGGGCTTCGAACAGATAACAGAGCGTAGATTGTTTCATAATAATCTCCATACTCTACAGAGTGTATATCAGAATAGGAATCATCAACTGACTGTTTTCTGACTTCATCATAACTGGATATTTTATGAAGAAAATTAAGATGAAGATAAACATCATATTCGTAAATTTTTATAAAGTTAATTCTATTCAATAATTACTGAGATTTATCTATCATTCTAATTGTTCTGTACGTTGTAAGATTAAAACTTTAAAGACAAATATCACTTTATTTTATGAACACCTAATCGATTAAATGTTGTTTCTAAAAAAAGATGGTCAAATAAGACTAAAGACTACTGTTTTCTTTGAAAAAAAAAGAGGAGCTATTACATAAACAAAATGAACATTCAACTCTCATCAGGATGGATATTTTAGTTATTCGGTTATATAATTAGAGATATTCGGACCTAATTCTATCTAAATAAATTACTGGTACAGTTATAAACTAATATGTGATTTATTTTAAATTTACCTGCATTTTTAAACTAGTTATGAAATGGAGTTTTGACCAAAATAGAGCTGGGTTTTGAATTTCGGACAGAATGATATCGATTATTCGAAAGCACTAATTAAGTGAAATAATATTTTGGTTTGATCAGGCACGCTGAAATCACTCATAAATTAATTATTCCCAAATTTATAATGCATCAAACAATCAAGTTAACTATGTAAAAATCTATTTACAGATTACAACTAATATATGTGTTACGTAATAACAAACAGGATAATGTATCAAAACAGTATCTTACAAAAAGGAAAGATATTAGTTTACAGTTAATCTCAAACATATATTTTCCAAGGGTTAAAAAATCATTAGTATTTGTTTCGCTTCATAAAAATTGCTTGTAATGTCTATGCTTCTGTACTTATAGAACCTATAAAGCGAAAGGTCTCTTACTTAAGGACACATATTCACTATTCATCAGGTTTTAGAACACAGATATTCTTATCGGCGTCCGACAATCATAGTTTTCTTGACTTAAAAGTAGCATTTGACCCTGTAAACAGAGATGTTCTATGAAGTTCGTGTTCATCTTGTTGTGCTAATGAGGCATGGAGTCTTGGACTGTTGCATGTATGTGCCTGGTCCTATGTTGTAGCTGACTACTTTAAGGATATATATGGTTAATCAATCAATTTCGGGTAACATAGGGCCTGAATTAAAGGTACATCAATTCAAATTGTTATAGGTCAAAACAACACAAAGACAGAAAAAAAACAAGAGAGAAAGTATAACAGAGTGATAAGAAATAATATTGAATGCAGTGAAATTCTAGTCATAAGAAACGTAGTTAAAAAGGAAAACGTGGAATGGAAGAGTGGTATGTGTGAAATAACAATGAACTCAATAGTTGGAAGATACTGAATAAATGTAATTGTCTATTTATGGTCAATTTTGAATAATGTCGCAATAAAATACATTAACAAGCTTAGAGAAATCCGTACAATCTCTAGGATTCTATACTATGCAGTTAAACAGAACGGGTCAAGATATAATCACTGAGCCACTAAGGATTCGATAAATACTAGTGTACAAGTATTCCTTGCTCTGCATAGATTTTTATGCATATCTTTTTTACAAAAAATCAAGTAGTGAACAAATAGCTATCTGGTTAATGATCCAAATCAATGTTCAACGATGCCAATTCAAATGTCCGAGAAATAAACTTCATAATAATAGGATTAAACAACGGTTCTGACGCCGATTATGAGATGAGCATTAAAATATTTATATAACACAAGTGTAGGTACATCTAACTGAAGCACCAAGTAGAAAGTAATATGGGTCCTGGATTTCAATGCTAACCATTAACCAAGTTGTAAATTCCCTGAAAATAATACTTTGACTCCGGAAGACTAATGAAATTCAAGGAAGTTTAATTAATAGTTCGTTTTACTAAGACAGGTCCATGACGATAGAGAATTCTTATAAAATATCAACATATACTAAATTCAGCGAAAAAAACTATCCTCTTTTTCACATTACTGTCTTCAACCAAACCGCACTACAACTTAGTGCACACGTTTTCGTACGTTGTGAATCATTAGACCGAAGCCGCATACGAAGGAACCTGTAAAGTTCCTCATCGTGAACTTAAGTATTATCCCAATAATAAGAACAGAACTAAAAATAACATCAGCATCGACCTACCAAAAGTCACTTACTAGAATGCATTTCGTTCTGTCAGCTTTCCCACTGAACAGTCGACCGACACAATGCCCGATATCTAACGATCACGACGAAACTCCGCTGTTATTCACCAATCGGCCTGAGACCACGTGCTCTGGAAGAAGTGAGGATCCCAGAACACTCGAATAACTTTTATGGGTAGGACATGTTCCCGGCTTATTCATTATTTCATTCTAAAAATTTGCATTAGTTATATCCATTGTATTACACGATAAACATTACGTCTGGATGAGAGTTGTCGAAATAACTAAACAGTTGGAAGGCGTGATGTATACGGTCACAGATAATAAACGTATAATCGACAAATTTGTAGTAGCATATCGTGCTCTGAATTTCGTTTCTTAGTCCATTTTTCTAAACCATTTGTCCCTTTTTATTGTCTTCTGAAATTTATCTCTTACATAATTGTATGTATACTTACATTTTTATTTATTTTATCATGTTGAATGATAACGCAATCACTCATTGATTTCACTTCTGTTATACAACTTCTTTTATCTTAATTATGATTGATACCTCATTCAGTCAGTCAGCTACAACGTAGGACCAGACACATATGTGCATCGGTCCAGATTGCCATACCGCATCAGCACAACAAGATGAACACCGGATTCATAGCAGTGGTTAGGTCAAAGGTAGTAATATGTAAGAGAAAGATTGCATATAGAGATATAGTACAAGAAGAAAGAATTGGTTCGTAGAAAGAAAGATATGAAGCGATTTTAATCTCTTAGTTTAAGGGAAGACAGGGAGTGTATACACCGACGCCATTGTGATCGATTCTGAGCCATGTCACCAAGAGTCTCCAACCATTGGTTACGAAAGTCACGCGGACCCCAACCAAGTAGTCTGCATCTACCAACATGGCTCAGACTAGAAGTTAGTGACTTCGAGCACTGATGCCATGTTTTGGTTTGGCCGCCCCTAACTTTCTTCCAACCATCTCCAATACCGGATAGCATTGCACGTCGTGGTAGTCGATGTTCAGGCATACGTAACACGTGGCCAGACCATCTCAGTCGATGAAGATTCATAACCTCATCAACTGATTTACCATCATTCAGTCAGTCAGTCAGCTACAACGTAGGACCAGGCACATATGTGCATCGGTCCAGGTTGCCATACCTCATTAGCACAGCAAGATGAACACCGGATTCATAGCAGTGGTTAGGTCAAAGGTTGCAATAAGGATATAGTATAGGAAGAAAGTATTAGTTCGTAGAAAGAAAGATATGAAGTGATTTTAATCTCTTAGTTTAAGGGAAGACAGGGAGTGTATACACCGACGCCATTGTGATCGATTCTGAGCCATGTCACCAAGAGTCTCCAACCATTGGTTACGATAGTCACGCGGACCCCAACCAAGTAGTCTGCATCTACCAACATGGCTCAGACTAGAAGTTAGTGACTTCAGGCACTGATGCCACGTTTTGGTTTGGCCGCCCCTAACTTTCTTCCAACCATCCCCTACACCGGTTAGCATTGCACGTCGTGGTAATCGGTGTTCAGGCATACGTAATACGTGGCCCAACCATCTCAGTCGATGAAGATTCATAACCTCATAAACTGATTTACCATCATTACCTAATACCCTGCGTCTAACCTCACTATTACTTACCCGGTGATCCCAGCAGATGCCAGCAATATTTCTAAGGCATCTGTGGTCAAATACTAATAGCTTACAAATGTCTTCTACTCTTAATGGCCATGTTTCGCTGCCGTAAAGTAAAACAGAACGGACTGCCGCGCAGTATACTCGTCCTTTTATTGATAGACGGATAACTCGCCTTCGCCAAAGGTGACGCAAGTTGGCAAAAGCCAAGCGAGCTTTTCGAATCCGTGCTGAGATTTCGTCAGACACCAACCCATTAGGGCTGATCAGACTTCCAAGATAAGTGAAGTTGCTAACGTGTTCGACTACTTCACCCCCTATCCTTAGTTCAGGTGTTAACGCAGACCAGTCCTGAAGCAACAACTTGCATTTAGAGGGAGAGAAGCGCATTCCAAACACTTTGGCATTGTTGCTTAGTGCTACCAAAAGACTCTGCATTTTGTCAGCGTCTTCACCAAACAGGACTATGTCATCTGCGTATTCTAAGTCGATAAGTGGACCTCCTGGATGGAGATCAATACCCGAGAACTCAGTCGATGAGAAAGTTATTTCCATCAGTAGATCTATGATGAAGTTAAACAAAAATGTGGAAAGTGGACAGCCTTGACGGACACCACTTGAGGTTGCAAAAGTAGATGACAGTTCGCCATAAGCCCTGACTCGACTAGTAGTGTTCGAGTAAAGAGCCTTCACAAGGTTTATGTACTTCTGTGGTACGCCTTTCAATGACAGACACTGCCACAGAATCTCGCGGTCTACCGAGTCAAATGCTGCTTTTAAGTCGAGAAAGACCACCATTGTCGGACGCCGATAAGTATGCCTGTGTTCTAGAATTTGACGAATGGTTTTGATCCTTTCTTATATATTGGGACGATAAGTGATTGTGACCAGTTAGATGGGATAACGTCTAACTCCCAGATCTTAGCTAAAATATTAGTCAACCTAATCGCTAAAATTGGACCACCATCCTTAAAGACCTCTAGAGCCAATCCATCTGGACCAACTGCCATTCCTCGTTTCAGATTAGCTATAGCCTTTTGAACTTCAGCACGAGTTGGGGGACCTACTTCAATGTTCCATTCACACTGTCTGGGTATGGAGGGTAGTTGTAGAGTAGCTGAAGGCCAGTTGAACTGTTCTCTGAAATGTTCCGCCCATCGTTCTAAACGCCTGGACTGGGAGCAGATGAGTGTATCGTCTTTTTCCGATATAATCTCACTTACACTTGACTTATTAATTCCAGTTTCTTTTATTAGTCTGTAAAGCTGTCTTGTGTTCCCTATAGTCGCCGCCTTTTCCATCTCTTTTGCTTTCGTTGCCCACCACTGCTCACGGTCGTTTCTTAGACTTTTTCTTAACCTAGATCTGATTTGTTGTCGCTCTTCATCATGTTCAGAACCTGATGGGACGAGTTTGCGAGAATCCATCAGTGTGATAGACTTTGAAGAAATCCATTGGTTCTTTGTAACCCTGTGGTTTAAATCACTGATAGATGTCACTGCTGTTTGTATGGCTTTCCAAGCAACAACTGGGTCAACCTCGTTTTCAGAACTACCTAATCGTGACCTCAGTTGTTCCTAAAACCTACTTTTGGTTTCCTCGCTACTCAGTTCGGTTCTAATGGGTCTTTTTACTGTGGCTTTTTTGCGTCCAGTGAGGCGCAAGCAGATGCGTGCCCGTATTAGGGCGTGGTCGGAGTCCAAGCAGGTACTCCAGAATGAGCGACAATCTTCTACCGACCCTCTCCAACGGTGACTGATGGCAATATGGTCTATTTGAGTCCATCGTTGGTTTGGTGTAGGGGGTCGCCATGTTAGACGATGTCTCTCCTTATGCTTAAAATTTGTGTTTGCTAAAAATAAGCGATTGTCTGAGCACAGTTGCAGCAGACGGTCACCATTATCTGTTCGCTGTGCCGGAATGCTAAAATATCCACCTAAATGCCTTTCTGTTTAGTTTAAGCTACCTATCTGAGCATTAAAGTCACCCCCTACGAGTACTATGTCTGAGCGTTTAGCTTTCTGAAGAAGTTCGGACAGCTTTCTGTAAAATTCATCTTTCACATCATCTGAGCTGCAGTCAGTGGGAGCGTAGGCAGAAACGACGAAAAGGCAACGACGTGTGTCCCTATCCTTCCGAGTTCTCACGGAGCCGTTCAGCCGAACAGCACATAGACGACTGTTGACGGGGATCCACTCTAGCAGTGCTTGTCCCGCCCTCATGCTTAGTGCTATGCCTACACCTGCCAGTCCACGAGAACTGGCCATCGGGTCACCAGATACACGGAGGGTGTATCTCGTTGGCTCTCCGTTTTGCCGAGGTGAGGTCAAGTGAATGACCACACTGGAATCCTGTATGCGTGTTTCGGAGACACAGCACACATCAATGGAAAGAGATTGATTGATACCTACCTATTTTATTCCGCAATACTACTTTGTAACGGATAAGTACCCATCGATCTTAATTGTTTATTTATATACTTCACATCCGGTTCTTCTAATGATTTCCGCTACGTTTCAAACATTTATCTCGAAGTTAAAAACTAAAGTGCGCTAAAATCTTGTTAATATTTATATCAATACTTGTAATTTCAGGCTGTATGCAGCTAATGAATCCACTTTATTCTGTAAACCTTGTTGTTCTTTCTCTGTTTAAATTTGTGAAAAGATCTGACTGTATGAAACATCATTTTTGGACCCACCCACGCCTATGGAAAAGCAGGATTCCAGCGCGAGGACCTTTCAAAAAACACGGTGAGGTAGAAAATATGAGGAATACTTCTCATTACAAAATGTTTCACTAACGAACGAGTTATAGAAAGTGGAAGCAAGACACAACCAGTTGATAAGCGCTGAAAAACATGGAGAACTTCGTGCTGCCCGTTTGTTATCGACGAGTATTTCAACCTCGTTTTACCGGGAAGTAATTGTTTCGAACAGCTCACGACACCAGTAGCAACAATCGCAAAACACAAGACCATAAATCTAACAAAATAAACATGAAGGTTTTCTGCTTTGAGAAACAGTTTTCTGATAGACAATAGAACCATACTTAGATCATAAATCAATAGTATACTAAAGACTTTCATCTATCTCACGTTAAACAAAAATATTTTAAAATGTATTTTTAAACTCCTCAAACGCGAATCAGAGTACATAAACATAACCGATGAAAAACAGAGGTTGAAAGTACAACAAAACGTCTAAAATTGATAATTATAAATCTTAATGTCAAAAAAAGCGTGGGACTTACGACGAACCAACAGGACAAAATCCTTTGACACTAATTTCAACACACATTTTCTCCCCCTCCAATGTAGTTAGATTCAAGTACGCTAATGTGTCCGTAAATGGAAGAGAATCGGATGCTAAGCATATTTCTTTCACACCAAACCCCACTTCAGCTATGGCAGCCTTAGCCTCAATGGAACATAATTTCACATCTTCATGATTATCAGCACTGTGTACACAACCAACTGATCCTTTAGGTGATTATTAATTTTTTAAATACATGAACTTTAAATTGATGTATTTAACATACCAAAAGTCTTTTTAGTTGCAGTTGTCATTCCTGCTGGGATAAAGAATGTAAATAAAAACATGGATAATGATAAATCAATAAGAGCAAAACAAGTGAGCAAACAAAAGATCACAATAGTTCCTAACAACCTAGATAAGCCACTCTTATTTTTATCATAAAGAAACTGACATGCACTCCACCGGAATTACTCACAAATCTACTTAGTTACAAGAGCTATCCGACTACTTGGAAAGGTCTCAAGAAAAGTGCAAGTATAGGCAAAAATTCTCCCTGTTTAAAGAGATTGTAGGTAAATTTGAGAGTTTTTAGTAAATTAGTGGGAAAGTTGATAGTTTTCCTTAAAGTTCGTGAAAAAACCCCAAACTGTCATAACACTTTGGTGAAATATCAGGGAAAACCCGAAATTCTACCAACATTCTTGGGATCTCCCGAAAAACTTCAGGGAATTGGTCAAGATTTGGGAAGGTTCTCGATTTTTGTTCCAAATCCTCAAAGTTTTCTATTGCGCCTTCTCCAAAATCTACACAAAATTGACATTTTCCCCAAAATAGAACTAGGATCCTAGGTTCGAACCTTGGAGATGAATCTTGAATTTTAGTGGCACTAAGTGCTTGTAATACTAAGGGTTGCTGAATATTCACTAATCAAATGAAACTCAGACAGCTTGGGTGTAACCGTATATACGATGGTACATACATAGTATATACTATTTAAATTCTATCTACATATCGTAAGCTAAAAATCCTTACCCCAGCTAACCCATCTAGACCACCATCGCCACAAAACCCCTTTACAACTGTTCCCAGGAGGTCGTTGAAAAAGGATAACAGAGCAGTGATGAGACTTGGCAGTTCTGGCTAACCTACTATTGAAAGGAACGTTTTTATGTCCTTGCTCTACTTGTTTTTTCACAGGGCTCTTAAGGTATTAAAGAACTCTCTAGATCCTTCTTTAACAGATAATCCCAGAGCACAACCCTCTTCAACGAATAAATAGTGACCTTACCGTCATGAAATGATTGCTGTTATTTAGTAAGTGTGACAGTATATCCAGGTATTTAAAGGAAGGTTGTGTCTCTGAAATTCAGAAATTAAACGAGAACTGATAAATCCTTGGGAATAATTCTTTTTTGAGTTGTTTAGACTGAAGAGTACGGAAGAAGTCAATATTTTGGATCTAACATGGAGCGAATTCATACTCACTGCGTTTACTTAATGTGCGCACGTTTTATGAAAGTTGATTTATATAAACACACAAACATCGGTACAAGGAGGCACCAAATATATATGCACCATATAAATCATTCGATTCGTGTGAGGGCCGAGAAACTCCACGGGTGCACAAACCGATACAAATAATTTTTTAAGAGGCTGCACCCCTAGACTTCGACCTAAACGAGTGAACCAACATGAAGTGGAACAGTGTCAGGAGATGCAGACCCATGACCAATGATCAGTCCATACGCCATCTGCCCCCTCAGGATCCTGGAGTCCATGTGCATCATTGGCTTGGAATAAGGGTTTTCCAACTTACCTAGGTGCATCCTCAATATCCACCAACCCTGTTATAGCACCGGAAATTCAGTTTTCTTCCTCTCAATTTCGTGAACAACAATCCCATCATGAGAATAAAGTGAGTAGGACTTCATTGGAAGAGGCTATATACGCGTGGCCATGTGAGAGCATTTCGAGAGAGAGAGCTGACTCTCTCCACATCGACCGTACCAGGACATTTAGGGGTTTTAGTGATTGTGACCATTCACATGGGATTACGTCCAGTTTCCAGATTGTAGCTAAAATATTAGTCAACCATCCTTAAAGATCTGTAGAGTTAATCCCTCCAGACTAGCTGCCCTTTCTTGTTTCGAATTAGCTGTAACCTTTTTAACTTCGACTAGAGTCGGGGGGTCAAAATTTCATGTTCAACTAAGGCTGTTTTAGAAAAGTGGTCAGTTGTAATGTATCTGAAAGCCAGCCGAACTACTCCTCAAAGTGCTCCGCCCATCGTTCTAGACATCTGGACTGAGACCAAATAAGTGTCTTTTTTTTTCGAGTTCGCCTCACGCTTGAATTCTTAACTCCAGGTTCTTTTATTAGTCTGAAAATCTGTCTTGTGTTACCCACAGTCGATACCTTTTCCATCTCTTATGCTTTCGTTGCCCCCTAATGATCACGGTCGTTCCCTAGACTTTTGGTTAGGTTAGATCTAGTTTGTTTTCGCTATTCATCGTGTTCGCAGCCTCGTGGGATAAATCTACGAGAGTCTAACAGTGCAATAAGTATTGCAGAAATCCGCTGGTTTTTGGTGACCCTCTGGTTCAAATCACCACTAGATGTAGCTGCTGTTTCCGCGGATGTTCGTTTATCCTTCTAAGTAACATCTGGAGCAGCCTCATTTTTAGAATCGCATAAGCTCCACCTCAAAGAATTTACATGAGCCTTTCCTATTTCCAGTGAAAAGTAAGCAAACGTATGTTCCTATTAGGGAATGATCAGATTCGAAACATGTATTCCAGAACTTGATGCAGTCTTTTATCGAGTCTATTAAACTGTGCCTATTTGAATCCATCGCTAATTTAGTGCAGTGCGTCGCCATGTTAGGCGATGTCTCTCCCTATATTTCAAAATAGCGCTTGTGGAGATATGACTGACAAGCTTATTTTGTAAATAGTTTTTAATATTATTTGTATTTATTTTGTCAATTTCTCACTGCATGTACATTTATCATTAAATGATTGTACCTGTTGTTTAAGTAAAATGACCTTGAAGACTTTTTCCGTTGTGATACTACATAGCGTGACATATCGTTGCTGGTTAACAAATACACTGCTTCTCTCACATTCCCCGTTCTGTTTTCATTCGAGATTGAGTTAACTGAGATCTAAAACAAATATTATTTACATTCATAGACTGAGAAACCGAATACCCCATATCTTACTTTGGATTACACCACTGGGGAGTTCATTGATACATCTGGAATTACCATGCATCTATAATTGTGGATTTATTGTACCAGATTAAAGCCGAACACACATCATTTTGGGTGAACTTAAGTAAAGTCCCACCTTCAATAGCTGTTTTAGCCTTACCCTTACAATAGTGTATCAAATAGAGCAAGCGCTGGCTATCATCCGTGACTCTTGATGCTACATACGTCTCAAATTGCCTTATAAACTTCCAGTATCCTCTTGGCTCTCCATCGAAATAACTCAGTTCAACCTTTAGTAGTTCTGGGCCAACAACATGAACTATAGGCAACATGCTCTTTCCTGTTAATTCAGGCCTTTGCTTCTCCTTTAAGCTAAGATTTTTTACGTCATCTGACAACGAATTAAGACTAGAATCACTACCATGATAATCAACCCTATTTGAGTCTGAACCATGACCCTTAAGGACGTCAAAAGGCACTTGCTTGACAATAAGGGATTCTTCATTAACATCGACGAACTTTGAGCTTGATTTCCTTTGACGATTAACTGGCATTATAAGCGAAACGACCAATTATTTCCAGAAATTCCGCGAACGATTACCAAAGGATTTCGGCCAAGTAATAATTGTTTAGAACTGTAAAATCCAAACTACCGTTTGGATGTTGAAGAATAGCCTTCCGGGGACTTTAGACACGCGCCCTTTCCCGTCGAAATCAAAACAAGTAATCGGGTAAATAGCGGTTCTATAATTCATCATAAATTTAAATGTAAATCGTTACCTAATCAAATATTACCACCCGGCTATTCAACCAATAATTGTTCAATCAATCAAATTTAAATTACAATAAATAAAGAAGTTGATAGAAGATGAGAGAAAATTACCAGTCAAAACAAATGAACGTTATTCTATCCTGACTGGATAGAACACACACAAAAGGAGGAGCGAATCAATATGGCTACCACCAAGAACAAGTGTCAAGTAAAACAACACAGATGAAGTTCAGGAAGAAACACAAACTTAGTGAGTGCGTAAGAAAACAAAAGCTATAATAAAAAATACAAGTATTAACGATTCAAATGTAATCAAAATACAACAATGTACAACTAAGGGGATCAATAGGAACAAAGTACAAGTATATACATGGAGGGATTTTCACCAACACACAAAACCTTCAAAATGGATCTTACATTTATTGTATTTGTAACATTTAACCGATATATATTAATATTACTATTGTTTTTTTATTAACTTTGTTGATACCTTTTGTGTTCATATATCGTCTGGTCCACCACAATTATTTGGTGAGCCTTGATTATTTTTTTAATAGACATTTACTATATATATCTACATAATTTATTATTATTATTAATTGGCACGACACCATTTTTTTGTTTTTGACATTATGAACTCTCCTAATAAACTTATCGATATGGATAGCCCATCAACCAACCCCTTTCATTCATCACAGCCAGAAGATAATGTTTTAAACTCAATCAACGCTATTTCTGAACTAAGATTACTAGTATACGGTGTCAAGAACCCTAGAATTTGGTTTGCTCAAGTAGAGGCACTATTTTTGGCGAGGGTTATACGTTCGCAAGCGACTAAATATGCCCACGTCGTCGGTGCACTACCTATAGAAGTAGCAACGGAAGTTGGTGACCTGATTGACAACGTACCAGAGACTGACCCTTATGACAAAATAAAAGCTGCAGTAATACAACGCACATCGCTGTCAGACGAAAAACGTTTACAACAACTGCTTACCTCGTGCGAGCTAGGGGATAAGAGACTTTCACGGTTGCTCCGACACATGCGACAGCTAGCCGGCCCTTACAAATTAGACGAAACGCTACTTAAGCAAATGTGGTTACAAAGGTTACCACATAGTGTTAGACAAATCCTTAGTATTTCAGGAACCTCTGTCATCCTCGACGACTTAGCTGACATGGCTGATAAGATGATGGAAATATATCCCGATAGTCGCGGAATCTACGCGGTACAAACCTCTAGTAGGGATGTTATAAACCCCCCTCTGGACATTCAGCAGCAAATAGCACACTTAACTCAGCAAGTAGCATCGTTGCAGGCGACCATTGCCACGATCCACTCTCGTCCTGCCAGATCGATCTCGAGAAAGCGATCAAGGTCCAGACCTCGCACTAGGTCATCCAAACGGGCAGCTGACATTTGTTGGTATCACTCGAATTATGGAGAGAAAGCACGTCGTTGCACTAAACCGTGCAACTTTACGACAAACAAGCCAGATTACCAGGGAAACGAGCCGGCCAGACAGTAATGGCGGCGTCTGTTACTGGCCAACAAGTTAGCCGCCTCTTTTACATCAGGGATCGCATTTCTGGCTCGGATTTTTTAGTCGATACTGGAGCAGAAATCAGCATCATCCCACTCCATCTCTCACGCAGACAACATACGACAAGCACTAAATTGTCCTTAGTAGCGGCTAATGAATCAACTATCAAAACGTACGGTGAGCAATCACTTATATTAGATCTCGGACTCCGCAGAAGATTTACATGGGTTTTCATAGTTGCTCATGTCAAACGACCCATCCTCGGAGCCGATTTCCTTAGTGCGTACAACTTGTTAGTAGATATGACTAAGAAGAGATTGATCGATGCAAATACACGTTTACAGGTAGAGGGTACACCTTCCAACGACTGTGAAATCCATGGTGTACGAATAATGAAGCCTGCGAACAACGTTTTCAACGACATTCTGTCAGAATACGAATGCATCACGAAATCAGATTATCAAAAGGAATGTAATTCACACCAGGTGCAACACCACATCATTACCACCGGGCCACCTATTAGCGCCAGGGCGAGGAGACTACCGCCAAGAAAGTTGCAAGTAGCTAAAAGAGAATTCGAACATATGATGCAACTTGGTATTATCAGACCATCCAACAGCCCATGGGCCTCGCCGTTACACATGGTACCAAAGAAGGACCAAGATTGGCGTCCGTGTGGTGACTATCGACGATTAAACAATCAAACCATTCCCGACAAGTACCCAATTCCGCATATACATGATTTTTCATTAAACCTATACGGTAAATGCATTTTTTTGAAGCTTGACCTAGTGCGAGCATATCACCAAATTCCAATGGCACCGGAAGACATTGAGAAAACAGCCATAATAACACCTTTTTGTTTGTTTGAGTTTCTAGGGATGCCATTCGGATTAAAAAACGCTCCGCAGACATTCCAACGCTTCATGGATAACGTAACAGGAGGCCTTGATTTCGTGTTTGCCTAC